ATGTCAAAGGTTATATGAATTAGTATAGTTTCAATTTTGCCATCTATTTGATAAGGCCAACCTAAAGTTTGGTCAAAGGTCACGAGAAGTAAACAGGACTAGCGCTAATCCCAATCCTAACTCTAACCCTGGACCTAGCCCTAACGCTTACCCTAACCCTAACCTACAATCTCGCGAACAATCACGTGCCCTAACATTATTTACATCTCAGCGACCTTGGCGAAAATTGAGTTGGCCTTAAAAAATAGATCAAGCCCGTTTTAACGTATGGACCCCATTAAAGCATCTAAGTTGAAAGTCGGTATCCGATGACAGAACTCATCGCATATGCCTGATACAACAATATACGACAAAGGGCCTTAAAATGTACTATGGAAACGATTACAAATCGCACTGTGATCTGCACCATAAAACAGCTGTCATAAATTGCCTTCTTTCGTTAGTTTTTGTATAACAACGTTGTAATTTTCTATTTTATTTCAATTCAGTAATTTAAAGTTATAAATTCTAAATAATCAATTTAAATCAACGAGTTGAAACGAAATAAAACTACGGGGGGTTTCATTGTGTTTGAGTGCAAAAGAAATTGGGTTTATAATTGATAAATTCAGGCGACGAGATCTGTTGCCTGTGGGCTTATGTTTTCACTTTTGAATAAATCGCGACACAAATGCTCATTTTCATGGTCAATTGTTTAACTAAAGATAAAATCCAAATTTTAGTAGATACTTCAATTTTGATTGGCTAAGTACTAAAATCAATCTAATATTATCCAATCAAATTACTAAAATTTTGATTTGATCTAAGTTAAAATTTCGTGAAACAGGCCCCTGGATTAGAACCTTGTCAGAGGTGGGGCCAGCAGAACTGACAAGAAAAGTGCACTCACAAATTTGCAGTAAAGGCTCTCAAATTGGCCTTTCCTAGTCTAAGGAAAACGAAACGGTTCAGGGAAATCCTTTCCATGGCACCACAGGAAAAAAACGCACGTAATTAGTTTCAAAATGAATTAAGTGTTCTTCAGATGTTAAACCCTTCCTTAACTTTGAAGCACATCAGGAACATCGTGGCTAAGTAACCTTGAGGTCTGGGTTTATCCCGATGTTGAACGATAAAGTTTATGATGATTTTCTAGCCTATTACCCCTGGAAATGAGAGAGAGAGAGAGAGAGGGAGAGGGTTTAACGTCAACTCGACACACAAACTAGGTCATTTCGGGACTAACATATGGTTTAATTTTATTTCAATAACTCGCTTGCGCGTAGGGGTCCTTAGCAGTTGGGGGAAACCAGAGGACCCGGAGAAAACCCAGGAGGTTGGACAGGCGACCACAATCCTTGTCACGTACAACCGGGGATTCGAAACCACGCCAGTTGACTCAATGACAGGCCTTATGATATAGCACGCACGTGCTAACCATTCCGTTTCATTCACAATAATAACAAACAAATTATGTCGACCGCGAAAACAAACCATTATAATTGGACAATACATCATATATAGTTAATTATGATTCACATAGTGTGTATGATTCATTCATAGTATATAAAGAAACATAATAATAGGCCTAATGTCGATTTCTTTTGTTAATTTAGTGGAGCAACAGGGGTTCGATTCCGCTGTTGGCTGAGAATGTTCCTTCATAACTATAGTATTTGACCTCGTGCACTGTGGCGGTGTATCGGGTTCAAAATGCAATCTAGAGTAAAAAGCAGAAAGTCAACAGTAAAAAGTAGAAAATCTGAAGTAAATGTGGAAATTTTTTATCTAAAAGGGTGAAAACCTATAAATTTATGTACGTAGTCTGCAGAAACCTCAAGCTTTTCAACTTTTAATCGCTATAATTCTACTTTCATGGACATAATTTCTACTTTCTACTATCAACTTTTGACTCTCGACTTTCCGCTTTCCACTTTCTGCTGTCACTTTCCACTTCAGATTATCTACACACGATTTTCTAACGCAGATTTTCTCCAATATTATGGTGGCTGATAGTGGCCATGTAATTTTTCCCCATTTTCATAACCCGACAACACGACATAACAACAGTATTAGTGAGAGCATACGTCAAAGTAGACTTGGATATTAGAGACCTTTGGCAAGCGTAAATTCCTGGTCCGCATCGCGTATCCGTATGGGTTTTATATGTGACGTCATCAATGTGTGTGTATTTCTCATACGTGATACGGCACACGGATACGGCAGCACGTATCGAACAGCTTTCATACGGAAAGGTCCATATAACATCGTCGTCTTTTTATCGCCTTTTTTGCTACTTTTAATCGCTGAAATGTTGTGGCATAGCGTTTTTATGAATCTATGTGTATCCTAAAACACGAAGGTGTATATTTGATGTGATTTTAACCATGATAATCATTATTTTTTATAAGTTTTTCTCGGAATTTTCATATTTTTCTGACTGATCTACGTGCTAAATTTAGGGAGGTGTAAATGGTGTGATTCTGCCGTAAAGGGGTATAAACTTTCTGAAATGAGTGAAACCAAAAATTGCTGTCGAGTCTAGGCATTTGTGGCTAGGCACTTGACTAGCATTGATGGTGATTTTGGTAGATAACCGTCGTCATGTTGTAAGAGAACTAAGCTCAGCTCAGCTACTCATACGTACGCGGCGCGAACGTCTGTCAAAACTCTAAAACTACGATACGGATACGCGATACGGATGTGAAAAATACCGCTTGCCAAAAGACTATAATATCCAAGTCTACTTTGACGTATGCTCTCACTAATACTGTCGTTATGTCGTCTTGTCGGGTTATGAAAATGGCGAAAAATTACATGGCCACTATCAGCCACCATAGTATTGGAGAAAATCTGCGTTAGAAAATCGTGAGTAGAAAATCTGAAGTGGAAAGTCGAGAGTCAAAAGTTGACAGTAGAAAGCGGAAAGTCAAAAGTTGATAGAAGAAAGGAGAAATTTTGTCCATGAAAGTAGAATTATGACGATTAAAAGTTGAAAAGCTTTATGTTTCTACTGACTAAGTACATAAATTTATAGGTTTTCACCATAAAAATACCCTTTTAGATAAGAATTTTCCCGTTTACTTTAGATTTTCTTTTTACTGTTGACTTTCTGCTTTTTACTCTAGATTGAATTTTGAACCCGATACCCCGCCATAGTCTGTCTTCAATTTCTATTTTCTGTACATCTTGTTTGTTTGTTCGCTATCAGTTATTCAGGTTGGTCCAACCGATTAAGCTACGAAATGAACTGTTGGTCAATATATAGTGTCGTTTGATCCATAGACGCATGGGCACGGATAAGACGTTCAATCCCTGCATTCACCGAGAAAGTTCATCTGGATTTTCCGTCGGGGTTTCTCCTTGCCAGTGAGGGGATCACGGTGGCTAAGTGGGTAAGGCGCTGGCTCGCTAGCCTGGAGGTCGGGTGTTCGATCCCTGCATTGGCCGAGAAAGTTCATCCAGATTTTCCGGCGTGGTTCTCCCTTGTCAGTGATGCAGGATGGAGGGGCTGACAAGGACAGGGACGAAAAACCGAGGTCCCGTGTACACATTGGCGTGCACGTAAAAGATCCCTTGAGGCCGTAGTGCCGCTGTCCGGGCAAAATTTCTCTTATAGCACACTGTATGGCATATGCCCGTCTTCATTAGCCCAGTTCGGAGCAAAACAGTAGGACGTTAAGCCCCATTTCATTTCATTTCATTTTCCTTGCCAGTGGTGCAGGACCGAGGGCAAGACAAGGAAAGCGTGGTCCCGTGTAAGCGTGCACGTAATGAAACCCTTGACGGAGTCTGAAATTAGAGTAGGCCGTGTCACCGCTCTCTGGACTGGACAAAATTTCTCTCATAGCACACTGCATGGCGTATGCCCGTCTTCATTATCCCAGTCGGAGCAGAACAGTAGGGCGTTAAACCCCATTTGATTTCACTTCCTTTCCTGTACCACAGGCAAGTAAAATCCCGAGGAACATCCTCAGCCAACACCAGGATCGAACACCGGACCTCCCATCACCCTTTAAACAGTACGCTTACAATAACCAACATTGTTGATTTCATTCGATGTTGATTTGTTTTGTAGAATTAAATACCGCTTTCGTTCAAACTTTACGTCTATTGATAAAGTTAGAGTTAAGATAGAACAGATTTTGCGTTCCACTGTCCACACAGTAAGTCAGCAATGAGAAAAACATGTAAACAAACCGACTTCCCGTTAAATCAGCTACCGAAACAAAAAAGATAATCATATCACTAAATAATCTGAGCAACCCAATTCAATATTTCAATAATACCTAATTTAAACATACATTATGCAAGAGCTAAATCTGCCTATTGCAGGTCTTTCTGTAGGCCTAAAATGTTATCTAAATTATTAATTGGATATTAATTAACTTATTCAGATAATAATCAACTCTCGATGCCCATAGGCGTAGGAGCTCAAAGTAATTCAAGGGGTATAAGAGAAAATTGCCCGAAATCATAAGAGAGCTTCTGGCATATTTTCGGGCATGCAGTGGACAAGAAAAAGACGAGAAAATACTTTTCGGGCAGTGTGGATCTCATAGAAATAAGTTAGTTATATTTTTTTCTCTAAACGTTAATAGAAAAAAAAGGTCGTCGAATTTTTCATTGCCCGATGCCATCGCTAGCCTGTGATAATTAACGGATTCGAACATATTTTTTGAAAATAATTAAACGTAAAAATGGATAATCGATACTTTGTTTTTTTTTTATCGTACTGACTTTAGTAATGACGATCGAGTCAAGCCTCTACGCGCAAGCGAATTATTGAAATAGAATTGAACCATGGTAGTCCCAAAATAACCTTACTGGCACGTCAATGTATGCCCACCGCCTATAGCTGGAAACTCAACGTTATCTTTTCCTGAGGGAATATTAGTTATATGCTTTGACCTTGTGACCTTTATCCATTATACAGTAGTAATTTGTTGGTATAGCTAGTCGCTTAATAATAAAATAAGTTTGTCTAACATAATCAAAAAGAAAAACTAAATGCTACTCACCTGACTACCCTTTCGTCGCCTGGTTTCCATGGTTATAAGAATTTCCTTTGTATCTCTAAAAAAGATTTTACGTGGTTCAGATTCTGATTCCTTTTTAAAGCAGATTGGATTTATGCAACTGGCATTCCACAAAGGATAATCTCCTCCTCCTGTGTCATCAGATCAGACTTCCAGTTAATCCCATAAGCTTTCTTGTTCATCCAAGCCCCAGCGGTCTAAATCCAGCTATATATGCACTGCTAAATGTTCGGTTGCTTCACCTTCGCCTCGAGACTGCTGAATGTTAATTCATATCGTTAACATACAGCACCTAAGTCTGTGATTGTGAGGCCAGTGCACTGTTGCATAAACAAAACATATAATATGATAATATCTTATCATATATACGAGAGTAGGATGTCGCCGGCACACATATATTGAAAGCCTACACCGACATCTGTTTCACAAATTTTACTATGATATGGAAATAAAACCAATATTATTGAAATGTACAAATTATGTTCATAGTCATAGCGAACGCAACTGTCGCTCACTGTATGCTATTGTTTACGACCTTTTGATCACGTGATAAATATTATTGATCAACCCTTAGGTCACGTGATAGGTTATAATCAATGAGTTATTATTAGGATGCGACAGCTGCGAGGTCCGGTTAATAGAACAATTTCTCACGATGGATGCGTTAACAATAATAATCGCTGCCTGCGCAAAGCACAATTTTTCGAATGAATTTATTTACTAGGATTAATGTGCATCATCAGCGCTTTAAGTAGGTTATTTTGATACTAACATGGTGACAATATTGTTATTCTGCATAATATTCAAAATTAAAAAAAAAAAATAATAATAACTATACTGTAATTCAATACTAGTCCATTTAAATATATATAGATGTTATCTTTCCATGAAAATATGGGATCCTAATATCCAACATTTAAGACACAATGTACATTTTTAAATCAGTACACGACGTCGTGTACACTATGGCTTTGGGTGTCATTTGTAATGAAGAAAAAATAACCCCGTATCCCACAAGATCGTGCGGAACTAATTAAACTGACAGATGTAATTCGAACTAAAAGAGTAGACAGTGTGCCACGGTCCGATCAAAATTTCCCTCATATGTATGGCGTATGTCCGTCTTCATTTTCCCAGTCGGTGCAGAACAGTAGGACATTAAACCCCATTTCATTTCATTTTTTAACTATTTAAGTATTTCACATAACATAACTGAATGTAAATCACCTTGCATTAAACTATCATAAGGCTTACGTAAAAGTGGTGGACTGGAAAAACCTCGACTCATATCAATAACAATGCAGATCTTTCACAAATAAACAACACACACACACACATCCACACACACACCCACACACACAAAGAAAAAATAAAGAATATTTGTATTTTAATGTAATTACTGGTATTATTTGTAATTAAACACATGAGTATTATTCACACAAAACTTAACGTAAAATAATCGTCTGGCTTTTTCGAAAAACAATTATTGTAACACTATTTGTCTATGACACAACGGTATGAAATCAGTAGAAACTGGTGTAAACTTCAAATGGTCATAACTAACTTCAGTTATAACTGATCCATTATGAACACGTTTTGGACCAGAATGTTTTGTTGATTGTTTTAAATAATAGTAGGTCTACTTTTGATCCCGCATTATTAACCGTTAATGTTGGGGCTGTGGAAATTAACATTGTCTATGACACTCTCATCTCCAGGTTGTTTTTGTTTTATAAATGGGCATTCCTATACTACTTTGCTAGACATATTATCAATAAGCAAATGGGCTACGTTTTGAACTTTATCTAAATCTAGATGAGTTTGTGATATAACTAGTTAATATTTTCACTTCTCAATGATATTTCTGTACACATTTGTAGATTTTAATCTACAATCTTGAATAAAATCTACTTAAATGAATCACGAAAGTGTCTAGTCATATTAAGGCTCATTTATAGTGGGGCATTAGGTTTTACACCCCTACCCTCCCTCCCCCAACCCAAATCTATAAATATCAGTCATCAGACAAGGAAACAAACGTAAACATATATTGTTAACCGTGTTGTTCAAGCACGTTTAGTGTGAGAGAGAGAGAGAGAGAGAGAAATGAGGTTTAACGTCCACTCGACACAGGCTAGGTTCAATTTTATTTCAATAATTCGCTTGCGCGTAGGGGTTTAGCAGTGGGAGGAAACCGGAGGACCCGGAGAAAACCCACGAGGTTGGACAGGCGACCCTACTCCTTGCCACGTACAACCGGGGAATCGAAACCCCCAGAACGTTTAGTAAACAAATATATAGAACAGCAAGTATTATATTATATTATATTATATTATATTATATTATATTATATTATATTATATTATCTCCGGGCAGATAATTTGAAATCGTGGAAATATTATATTTCAGCAAGTATTATATTATATTATATTATATTATATTATATTATCTCCGGGCAGATAATTTGAAATCGTGGAAATCCTATGGATTTAACCCTGGGTATAGTGGAGTAGAACGGAATGAGTACACTGGGGATACCGAGGATGAATTAACTTATACATAACAGAATATTGCAGAGACACTAATTGTGTGATAAACGAGACTATCCAAAATAGCTACAATGTAAGTATTTGGTAATCGCCTCGCACGTGGAATCTTTTTTATCATCTCTTGGACCACACCGCAGATCAAAGAGAAGGGCTGTCATTTTACGTATTGTATTTCACTAAACTGGATAAAAATACGACATGTGCTTTTTTTGATAAAATAAATATTCCATGGATTTTCTTCACAAAAATTAAAGATAGTAATTGGTACACGCTTATAGAATTTATATCAGACATTTGAGTCCAAGAGTTTTCGTTCCAATAGCGAGTTTTCAGCGACGGCCAAATTTACCTATGCGAGTATCGATGTTTGTTCATTGCCACAAATATAATTCTTTTTGCAAAGAATATTCAGAGAAGTACATGTCCGTGTATTAGGTGGAGTTGGAAATCGTAGATCTAGATATTCATGGAGGCCCAGTTCTTAATCCTATAAATCCTGAAATATTGGATATCATCATATCTTCAGCATTATTTTAACATATAATTAACAATAAACAATGTCCACCCTTTTCAGTTTTCTCCACATAAAGTCTGTTGTAAAGAGAGACCCAGTGCGATAAACTAGTCCGATTGGATTTGAAGCAAGAATTATTGATTATCACAAACTAGCAATCGTGATCATGGTTATTTCCCTTTATACATGGCTATACTACGGTCAATTCTGTGGTTTCAAACCTGTTCAATGATCTTGTACGAGTCTCTTACAATCCAACTCAAAATACATCAGCACCCCTTTCCATAGTAGATCAGCCGCTTACAATAATATGTTTTTTCAGACGTGTTACCATGATATTTTAATTATAATCCGTGCACAGTCTAAACGCCATTGATAAAGAGCACGCAATTCGTACATTTTACTGTAACACACTATGATCAGGGTCACTTTGAATTAATATAATTCTTAATAATCACGTCCATATGCTGCAACATCGATGATCTTTTCCGAATTCTACATGTATTTTCCTAGTTTTGATTAAACCATAGAACTTAGAATCCATTGTGTCATGTTTTTATTGGGATGTCATTATTTATTAAAGAAACTGTCATCAAATTCTCGTTGAAGTAATGAGCCAAGGAAACGACAAATACACGTCATTTTTAACTGATCTGAAACAAAATGAATTTGAACTCGTTTTAAATAAGCATTATCACTCTCACCAAGGAAATAAACCTATTTATATCTTTAATGAAATCGCATACAAAAATAACAGAACGCGCATTATTGTCCAAGTACATGGTACCATAGCCTACCTATGTGCATATAAAATGAGATAAATTTTTGTCCATCAGTCTGTCTGTGCATCTGTCCGACATTTTTTAGACCATGCACATGTTTATTGAAAACGCATTATGTAAAATTTAGATAAATAGCTGACCGTTCTTGCTATGATAGTTCAAATATAGATAATGCAGAATGAATATATTGAAAATTTCATTTGAAGATATCAATGTTTGTAGTTTTGACAAAGTCTATGCATTGATTGTTTATTATCGTAACCGCCGTACTGGTTGTTCGAGACTTAGCCTCGCTACTCCATTTTTAAATTCAATTATTAAATGGTCGAACCGTTTATATTTACTTAAAATCGGAGCCATCCAATGGCCCGGAGAGTTGATTATATAGTCTTGTCATGTTAATAAATGTCTAATTTAAAAAAAACAGAACAAAGTTTATATGGAAATACAATCACTGTTTTACGATTTACAGGCATAGCACGACGTTTCGACAAGTATTCTCTTATCGTTATCAAGCATGTGTTGTGTTTTTTTAATGTGTTCAATCGCTAAATGCCACTCAAGGATTAATGTCTAATTAATAGATCTACAATAGGCAGATTTAGTTCTTACGTAATGCATCTTTAATAACTATTCCAGACCTGTTAAAACGTAGATCGTAAGTTTAGTTAAAGCTGAACTCCGATTACAAAACTACAGAAATAATAAAATAAAATAAAGTTAACGCCCTAAACTATCGCCATACTTGTTTTCAATTTGAAGAACAAACATGACTACTAATTACAAAAAAGAAGGCAGGCCATGTCCACATCCAGTATATGCCTTGTCGAGCGCAGTGTCCACATCTGGCTAGCTATTCAACTACCAATTACCTACTGACTGATTGACGTTTTTCCACTATCAACTTACTGAAAATATTATTGCTACATAATTATTATGTCTGATCAGGTACATATTATTTTACTAATTAGACGAAAAAACACAACACAGTTTATATGGAAATACAGTCAACCACGATGTACTTTTTCTTAAAAATAATATTTTCAGTAAGTTGATAGTGAAAAAAAGTCAATCAGTAGGAGGTAATTCGTAGTTGAATAGCTAGCCGGATGTGGACACTGTGCTCAACAAAGCATATACTGGATGTGGGCGTGGTCTATTTCAAGAAAAAGCAAATTTACGATCGTGCTATGTTTAAAACATGTAGAAATTCGGTTCTAAATCTCAAGTTCTACATGTAAATGGTATGTTAATTCAAAATAGCAATTCCGCGATTTGCCATGAAAATTTTCAGAATGTCACTAAGCTTCTTTCTGAGAGTGAATGAAAGACCAGTAAGTTTTACATAATATGTCAACAATTTTTCCCGTTGTACCCACGTGCTTTGACCAGGAACAACAGAAATCAAATTTCAAGCTTTGATATAAAAACATTCCGAATTTCAAGAGAGAGTATTATTTATTTCACAATTCCACAATATTTAAGATGATCCTTTAGGCAACTCTCATCTGCTTTTGCAAACATTAAAAGTCAATATTCCTACCAGGTTTCAAAGCATCTTTGGCGAAGGCATCAAACTCAAACGTTATGGAGTGCGTTATTATCTTATCTTCCACAGTAGTGCACGATATCTTTTTTATAAGCAATATTTTATTCAGA